TATTTAGCCAGGATGATGATGATGATGATGATGATGATGATGATGATGATGATGATGATGATGATGAATCAGCAGCAGCAGCAGCTTTACTTGGAACAGCTTATATTCTGTGATGATACCTTTAACACCATCAAACTACAACATCTGCCTACCCCAGGTCCTTGGGAAGGGCTCGCTAGATGGATAAAAATGCCAAATCCAGTCTAAACATCTGCCTGATTGTGCAGCCAACAACAACAATAATAACGTAGAGATGAACTTTCCCCTGTCATAATTGGGTCCCCTTTTCACTTTCCCCAAGTAGGGGCAGTGGAGTAGCTGTGGCTGGAACAGCCTCAGATGCTGAAAAGGGGAGAAGTACAGGTTAGCTCCCATTCATTCTTAAACATCCCATGTAATGGTCCATATAAGTAACCCTAGAACAACTTATGAAAAGAAATTGTGGTTACAATGCTCAGCCATAATTTAATTATGATTTTGTCTGAGATAGTACACTAGCCTGTATGACTTATGAGACACTATATTACATTTTATCCTTGAATATTGTATAAACCCTGTTTCTATCTGGCTAATGTATATAGTTGATTTATGTGGTTGCCAAACTCTCAGATTCAACTCTGAATGGCTAACATAGGATTAAAACCAAAACAAACCAACAAAGTAAAATCAATAGAGAAGAAAATGAGGCATAAACATTTTAGCCATTGCAAACAGGCTTACCCAGTGTACTGGCTCAATAGATGGTGCAAAAGCCAGATCTTCAAGGTGGTATAAAAGGCCAGCAGGATCGGGGCCATCCAAATCTCGGGGGGTATTCTGTACTGTGACACTTCCTGGGTCCTTCCAAATGAATGGTTTTATAGAAGGGGCCCAGAGCATGCCCATCCAGTCAAATCTCATGGGATGGGCAGAAATAGTAGGAGTTAGGTGGTTCCACAAGTAACCCAGCCCTGTGCCATGAATTGTAACTGGAAGCTTACTGGGAGCTAATGCAGCCCATTAACTAGCCGCAGTGCTGCATTCTCAACCATTTGCAGCTTTCAGAGGATCTTCAAGAGCAGCCCTATGTAGAGTACTTTATAGTAGTCCAACCAGGGGGCGACCGAGGTATGAGTGACTGTAAGTAGAACTGCCTGATCCAGGATTAGTGCACAAGATGGATTTGTGCAAATGAGGGAGATGAAACAGGAGAAGAGATACCTGGAGGGCAGCGAGTGGTGAACCTGATCAAATGTAAATTAGAACCATAGCCTTACTGTTAATGAGGGCAATAAAACATCAACATTTTTCTGTCCTCCTTGTGTCCGTAGTTAGTTCACTGATGTATCCATGTTACACCTTCTGTGATCTCTGCTCCTTCCAATGTACTTCTGGGGACAATTTAAGATGCTGGATGTTACCTATAAAGCCCTTCATGGCACGGGGCTGGTCTGTTTAGAAAGTTCTGTACAAATGTGTCCTTGATGGTTTGGGTCATCGTGAATTGAGACAGAATTTTTAGAGTGACCAAGGTTAAAAGCTATTAGGAAGTGAAGTTTTTGAAATCCTAAAAAAAATCATCAAATATTTTCATTTGTTCTTTTGCCACATCCAATATTTTCTATTCTCAGAAAAACTGGAAAACCATGCTTAAAATTTTAAGTTATGATAACTTACTTTTCAGGAAAATAAAGAAATCAGGTGGGCATCCAGATGGGATTACATTTTAGAATCCATGTCCCACACGCACATACAATGGTTTAGGTAAGGCCAACTTTAATTTTATAATTCAACAGAATTAGATAGATAGATAGATAGATAGATAGATAGATAGATAGATAGATAGATAGATAGATAGATAGATAGATAACAATTCTAATAGCATGTTGCCTTGTTTTGTAGTATAATGAATTCTCTGGTGATTGTCCTTTTCCTCTCTGGAATGGTAGCTATGATCATGCTAAGAACGCTGCATAAGGACATTGCAAGATATAACCAGATGGATTCTACAGTAAGTATACAATTGTTCTGGAAGAATTCCTTCCCTTCCTTCCTTCCTTCCTTCCTTCCTTCCTTCCTTCCTTCCTTCCATCCATCCATCCATCCATCCATCCATCCATGGGAAACCTTTTAAGCAGCAAGGACTCACATTTTATATTTAGGTACTTAATTTATTTTGACAGCTGAAGGACAGTAACGGGGACATGATGATGTAATCCAAGTGGATACAATCAGATTTCCTTACAGAATTTACGAAGTTTAGTATTAAATCAGGCTGGATTTATTCAAAGATGGGTTTCTCGCTTGGTGTATAAGGCTTAAACAAATGCTTGCACATTGTGTTTTTGTTTTTTCTGCCAAACACCAGGAAATTGCAGTGCTGTTTCTCAGTTATTTGTTGTTGAAATTTAGTGATCTGCTTTCTGAAAGCTGCAAAAAAGGGGTTTTAGGGTTGCTCACCCTGATGGATTAGATGACATACAGTTTCATGTTACACATTTAATACTTCATAATTAATAGTGTTAACATAGTATGAGTGCTTTTTCCTCAGTGATACCCTGTTCCATATAAATATATTTGCAACCAAACTGTTATTTGTACTATGTCCAAATAACTTTATTTTGGCTCAGTTGTATAGGGGCAAATACATTGATTGTAAATTAGGTCTTCTCAAATTGTATAAATATACTTGTGTAGCAGTACACTTTACTGACAGACTTTTGTGTAATACCATATAATTTCTAAAGAAAAATAGTAATACAGAGTCTTCTGTGGGTGTGATTCGGTTTCCATGGAAATACTTATTAATAGCAGATGTTAATAGAGAAAGGAATATTATTTGTTGCCAAACCCCCCTTCAGCTGTGAAAAAAACACTGCAGGATGTGTCACCAGGCAACATCTTTCTCCTCTTCTCTCCCCTACCCTTTGGTTACTTTTTGGCTTAGATATAATTTTTAAAAATGAAAATCACTGCAAGAAAAGCCTCCTATTTGCTATGCTTATTAAGTGGTATCTGGGACTTAGTTTATGGTTATGTTACGTCCACAATTTGGGAGACCTAGTGGGCCCTTTTGAAATGTTGAGGTTCAACTACCATGGAGAATGTGACCAGTTTACCAGAAGACAACCCAAATGAAGCTAAAACTTTTCCCAGATTCCTACTTGCAAGTCAGAGGGGAGATCTGGGCTCCAAAAATCAAATCTCATTTTTGTGTATACACAAGCACCTATATTACTAAAATAAACAGGTTTCTTGAGTCCTGTCTGAGTAGAATAGCAGGATATAAATGGAATATATATTAGTAAGAATGCAACCTGGATATGCTCATAGAAGCATATCCCCTCCCAAACTCAAGCAAAAGTATAAATCATGCATGCCAGAAACACACAGTCCAAGGAAAAAGAAATCGCTCTCATATGCAGAATAGGGACAGATTCACAAAAAACAACTTCCTCACTTCCTACTACCACTTTAACCCCCCCCCCATGTTCCCTATTATTCCCTCAAGTTACCACAAGATGCTTCCTACTACCACTACGTAACATCTTTTTCTGGGCAGGTGGGCACCTTTTAAAGTAGAACATTGATGTGGCCACTTGCCGCTTTCACTTCCGAAAATGTATTAGAGGTCCGTTAATGGAAATAAAGATTATGCCAAAGCTTGTGTTTTACTTAGCAGCATGTCGGGTTCCCGGAAAAAAGATAAAAATCTTTAAAACTTTTTAAAAGTTACATGGTACAGGATTCCCATGGGGGCTGAGGAAAGTATTTGCAGATACACAGAGGTCCACCAGCCTTGGGGACCCCAAAGTTATGCTGTTGTGATTTTGGAACAGAGCCAAACACATGCTGAATATCAGTGCTACCGGAAAATACAGTGGTTTCTGTCCCAGATTTAGTAATTTATTACAGAAACTCACATTCTTCCTTGTACAACAAGTAGAAAACGTTTATCTTCACATGTTGTGTGATCTTACTCATATATGACAGGTTTCTGGACATGCTTTTGAATGCTTGGAGAAGCTTGTATTTCTTATCATTGCTGAAGATGTAGTGAAATGATTAGGACAATTTTATTTATAGAACTCATTGCATATCTGAAAAGGACAGATTAATAAAAAGAATATAATAAACGATAGAATTGGAAAACCTATAATTATCTGAATCAGCCATATCAGCGTAATATGATACACTGATTATTTCATTTTCAGGAAGATGCTCAGGAGGAATTTGGCTGGAAATTGGTTCATGGTGACATATTTAGACCCCCACGAAAAGGAATGCTGCTTTCTGTGTTTCTAGGTTCTGGAACTCAGATTTTAATTATGACATTTGTTACATTATGTAAGTACAGCATAAATACAATTAAAAATACATTTATTTTTGAAGTCTGAATTCTCTACTCAGGATTTCAAGAATGCTCTGGGTCCACTTGAAAGTAGAGTTTTTTCTACTCTCCCCCTCCTCATCAGTTTTAGAAATAACTACACTTAGAATTACATTCACACTATTGTTTTTCAAATACTTGCTGCCAACTCTTTTGGTACTAATGATTATTAGCAACACTCCGTGTCCTGAAAGGGGTGGAGAAGGGGTGGAACTGTAGAGCTTCCATACATTTGCTGATATCTAGAAACCAGCTCCTTTTGTCTCTTATTCCTGAACTATGTCTAACCCAGCTAGTCATTACAAGAATTTAATAACTTCAAATGCTATATTTTTTTTCCTTTCCATCTTTTTTTTTCTTTTTGATATGTATTCTAAGCTGCAGTCATATGAGGCAATGTTTCTTAACCTGGGCATCTTCCAGATGTGTGGAGTTCAACTCCCAAAATTCTCAGCAGTGGCTATGCTGGGTGGGATATTCTGGGAGTTGAAGTCCACATATCTGGGAATTGCCAAGGTTAAGAAACATTATTTCATGTTTCTGATTGTCTTTCTGGGAGATTTTCAGCTATAGAACTGGAAGAATACTGCTTTGGAAGTGGATTCATTGTTTGTAGCCATTCTGCCCTGTAGATGTGGTTCAGGAAACTGGGCCGAGTATTCCCATCTTTAATCACTCTTCAAATGTGTGTCTACCTTTTATAGTCTTTGCTTGTCTGGGATTTTTATCGCCTGCAAATCGGGGAGCATTAATGACTTGTGCGGTGGTCTTATGGGTGCTTCTTGGAACTCCAGCAGGTTATGTTGCTGCCAGGTTCTACAAATGTAAGTTTAAAATTTTATTTAATCTGACAGCATTTAAATTCATTAGTATAAATTATCATCACAGCAGCAATGTTTTCTCTTCTAATATTGTTTGCCTTCTGGCAAGATGGTGAAATGTTTAAGACTGAAGACTACATGCCAGTTTAGATTGTTCTTGTGGTAGCGAACTTTCAGATTGGCTATTTTCTTCTGTAGAAATTCTCGTGTCAGTTGCTCTCATTTGGATTTATTTGAAAGGAAGGGAAAGCTATGGAAACTGACAACATATACATATGAAAATCAGGTTGTTGGTGGCTTTTAAAGCTGCACTGTGTTTGGCATGTGAAGTTTGCATTGTTCTGTTGTTTTCTTTAGCATGGTGGCGCTTGAAAGGAAGAGAAGTACCACATTCACTTTATTCTTTATGACACTTTGCTGAGGTTCTTGACCAGTGATTATTTTTATTTTAGTACGTATGCTGTGGAGAGAGTACATTGTGACCTTATATTTGTGTAAGCCATTTTGTTGAAAACAGTTGAAATGGAACTTCACTATCCATAAATAAGAAATTATGAGCCATTTTAAGTAGGAATATTAAATCATGTTGAGATTTTCTTTCTGTTTCTTGCTATGTTATAAGTGGCCTTTAAAACATATTGTCAATATTTTTTTCTGGCAACTAAATATTAGTCTTTTGAATTGCTAAAGCTGGAGAACAAAATAACAAAATGATTATTTCCTTAAAGTCATAATAATTCACCTGTCTGTATTTGAGTATACCCCACCTCAGTATTTAATTGGTATTCTCTTTGTTGGGTTTAATTTTTGTACAGCGTTTGGGGGAGAGAAATGGAAGACAAATGTTCTCCTGACAGCTTTCCTGTGCCCTGGGTAAGCTAATTCCTATGATTAATGTCAAATTATATACAAAATAAGCTTAGCTGAAATGTATAAGTCTTCAGTAGCATAAGCAATATATTCTATATCATAATACATCAGAGCTGTGTATAATTTTGCTTTTTTTAAAAAAAGGTATTGTTTACTTACACCAGGGAAAAGTTGATTAACAATATCAACCTGAAGAAATACTTTGTAAGACAGTACTGCTCTTCATTGACCCTCGGTTGTACTCCTTAGGCTAGTTTTCAGATCTCAGGATAGTTGGCCTTATATGGTGTCATATACTATACAGCTTCTGTATTCAATCTTTTGGCTTAATCACAGCAAGCAGTTGTCCCCTGAAGTGCAGAGATGACAGACAGACATTTGAAGCTATTTAGCTGAAATGTCAACTCCTGCTGGAGTTCAGTCCTGTTCCATTAAGAGAAGTAGACTCTCTTGACCTATTTGGGCATCTTTTCTGCCTGTTAATGTTGCTTAACATTACATTAGACAAACTGTAATATGACTTCAGTAACATGGAACTTCATCAGCGTTAAAATCTCCTCTCTTTTAGCATTGTGTTTGCAGATTTCTTCATCATGAATCTCATTCTTTGGGGAGAAGGGTCGTCGGCAGCCATTCCATTTGGCACTTTGGTTGCTGTTCTTGCACTTTGGTTTTGCATATCAGTACCACTAACTTTCATTGGGGCCTACTTCGGTTTTACAAAGAATGTAAGTGATTGGTTTTACCTAAGTACATTTCGTATCTTTGACTTGTCTGCAGAATAAGTGCTGAGCCACACCCGTCAAGATGGCATTGTGTCTAAATGAGACACTTTACTTGAATATATAAAGATGATCAGATTGCAGTTTTCTGTGACAGTTTCCTAGATTTCAGTTGACAAACCTATTTTGAGCATAACTGATCTCATTACACAAATTTCTCAAGTGCCTTGGAATTTCTGGTTCTGAATTTATTTTCTTTCGTACTTTGAATGTATACGCTTGTAAATAGTTTTGAACAGGTTGTTGCTTTAGATTGTGTGAAATACAGCTCAAAATACTGAAACCCCCCTTTTTTTTAAATATCTGTAAAGGCCATAGAACATCCAGTCCGTACGAATCAGATTCCTCGTCAGATTCCAGAACAGTCATTTTATACAAAACCACTCCCCGGGATTATTATGGGAGGCATCCTGCCCTTTGGATGCATCTTCATACAGCTTTTCTTCATTCTTAATAGCATATGGTGAGTTTTGAATACTTAATTCTTTGTAACATATAGCTATTTTTTTTTCTTTTCTTTTTCTTTTTCTTTTTTAAGTTTGCACTGGTCTCTTGCATTTCTCTGTCCTTTGTCATGCCATCAGAACAGGCTGACTGGTCTAATGGGCATAAAAAACTCTTGTGAACATGTTACTCAAACAAATACGTTAGCTATATAGTGATAGGCTTGTGGGACTGATTCATATAAAATTGTCTGTTGCAGACCCTGAGTATTACAATACCTCTGGTTCCCAGTGGTTCTAATGTTCTGATGCGATGCAAACCTTGGTTTATCTGGGCGTCTTTATATTTGTGCATTTTAAAATTCATGGACAACTTGGAGTTAATTTTCTACTCAGTGTCATTTTAATGGGTGCAGATAATTAGAGCAGCTGGAGATGATCTTCTTAGAATCAGATAAATGATGCTTGTTTCTCGTGATACAAATGCCTGGTATTGGCAGCACCTTAAGCATAGCTGCATTGTAGGAATTACTATAAACTGCTTTTCCTACTCATTGCCCATCAGTGGTGGTGTTAGTGAAAACCCCCATCTAAGGACCAAATGCTATCAACATTTGCTGAATGTTGATATATTCAATTACACACCCGCAAATGAACAATATAGGTTACTTTATTAAAACAGTACAGTATAGAAAAACTTGTGCTAAGGCCTTAAGGTCTCTGCAGGGTGATGTTTTCCCTTCTTATAAATAGAAAAAGAAAGAAATGTGTGTCTTTGAGTCACTCTTGACTCCTAGTAACTGCCTGGACAGGTTTTTTGGAAATGGTTTGTCATTGCCTGCTTCCTAGGAGTAAAGAGAGTGTCTGGCCCAAAGTCACCAAGCTGGCTTTGTGCCTAGGGCAGGACTAGAACTCACAGTTTCCCAGCTTCTAATCCAGCGTCTTAACCATAAAATAGTTACAGACAGTGAACATAGGGAAGATTCTTCCAGTCAGAATCCCTAGACCAGAGGAGGTAAACTGTGAGTTTCAAAAGAGTGCTTACATATCCAGCAACAACCTATTGAAATGCTTCCGCCCAACAGCACATGTCCATAAAATATATACTTATAAGGCCACAACCGATAACAGTCTCCACTCCTCTGTTGCACAATATCATGATGTGACAATGTTCTAGTCAGTTTAAAGATCATAATGGATGTGATTAACCTTGAACATACAAGGAAATAGTGATTCCAGTTTGGTCAACAGAACTTGTTGATCTGAAGTAGATACTGCAATTTTTCATACCCACAAGAAAGAGAAAAAACAGAAGCACAGGTATATTCCAAAGTGGCAAGGTATAGGAAGGATTAATGAAAATGAAAAGAAACATAGAATAAAACATAAAAATTAACTGTTAGCTAGATAGAATATTGTTTAGCATGCAAATCTATTCAAACGAAACAAGGCTAGAAGTCCAAGCTTAAGATACAAATGGAAACTGGAAAAAATGACATAGCTCCCAAGCAGAAGTAGGGTATGCACCTTCACCACAAGAACATGTGGGTGCTGTTCGTGTGGCCTGTATACCTTAATGGTTAGGCTTGTGGGTTGCTAACCACCAGAGATAAAGGAAGACAACACTTCTACCGACCACTTAATCAGAATAGCTCAAAAGAAAAAGCGAAAGCAGACACAAGTCAAACCACGAGGAACAAGAGTTATGACATTCTGTAGGGTCAAATGTGGCGATAGTATTGTACAAAGAGGAACAAAGGCAAATCAGCTGAGGAGCCAAATGCAAAGCAAATTCAGAGCTATATCAGACTAAACAGCAACCAGATCACTGGACGAAACACCTATTATTCCATCACGGGAGGCCAGAAAGCAGACAGTCACATTCATCAGGAAGTACTCCATAACAGATCTTGAAGGCTAAGAGCTTGCAACAGTATGAATTCTATTTAATTTAAACTTCTATTTTCCAGGTCTCATCAGATGTATTACATGTTCGGCTTCTTGTTTCTGGTGTTCATTATTTTGGTTATCACATGTTCTGAGGCTACTATTCTACTTTGCTATTTCCATTTATGTGCAGAGGTAAGCCTCCCAAATAGTTTTCACAAGGTAATCCATGTTTTCCTGGTGTTTAATTAAAGTAACAAGATAAGAAAAGAGGAAGCATGTTCTACTGACTGTCTTCTAGAGAAGAAGTTAAAGACTTGCCATAGGGACAATGTTGGAGGGCTAGAAAAAAATAATCAACAAGATACTGCATTCTGTTGAGAAGTGTTAATGAGATTGGGGGAAGAAAAAAAATACTTCCCAAGTACCAAGAAGTTTGTTGTTAGCAGCTGGCAAAACTATCTGCAGAGCTTGAATCCTATATTCCAGAGTTATAAAAGAATAGCTTTAAGTATTGGTTTTGTTCAAACACCCTAAATCAGGATTTTACCATGGTTTGTTAAAATAGTAAGAGTGATCTGGTTTGCACAAAACACTAAAACATAACTGGATTCATACATCATCAAACCAGAAACAAATAAATCACATTATGATTTAGATTTGTATGTGAACCAGACCTCTTATGGTCTAACAATAGCAGAAGAACTGAGAATCAGAAATTGTCTGTCAAAGTGGAAACCGTTTGGTAAATAATATCCAAGATATATTATGTTTTGGAGAATTGGGTAGCGTTCCTTCATTCTGAACTGAAAAAAAAAGGATATCTTGCTTTATAACAAGAGCTATTCAATCTCACTGTGTGAAATGCCATATAATTCATTTTCTATTATGCTTTCTTGATAGTATAGCAAATCTTAGCTATTTTAACCTTTAGTTTTAAATATCAAGTTTTTGTAAGAATTTTTTTAATGATTTTTGTCCATATATTTTTAATTATCAAATTTTGTATTGGACATTAAAAAAAAAGGCACTTTGATGATAAATTCTTATCTGAGAACCAGAGCCCACTCTCTTTTATTCCCATTTCCTTTAGGGGGGAAGTCATAGATATTGAACACTTCTGTTGTCAGCAAAGTGATTTTTTCTTTAGATCAAAATATTATGCAAATAGCCATTAAACTGATAGAAAATATATTGGATACAGATAAAGAGCATGTTGTTGAAGTTGTACAAACTTCCCATAAGTGGAGATCACTAGAGGACAATGTTTTTTAAATGTGCATGAGATTTAACTGTGCAATGTATTATCACATCAGATGCAACTAGGAGTTTAACTCATTTTTTGAAAGCTGGTGTCATTCAGTAACATCTGGCTACTTAGGGCTAACCACTTGAAAATAAAAATTTATCTGTACTGTGGTTATTTCTGTTATTGTAATGATGATAATACTTGCCAGTGTTTATTTTTACAATGTTATTTACTGTTAAATGGCTACTGAACATTACAAGTGAAGCTGAGATGAAAATAATAATAATCGAGTAAATGTATGTTGTCTGACTCCCTGACTCCCGAAGATAGGATGTAATAGATTTTAATGAAGATAGTCTGATTTTGTGGAGTGCAGTTGATGAATGCATGCAGGGAGGTGAAAGCATAGGTTTCATCAATTTAAAGGGTTGAAATATCTGTCATAAAGTATTGATTAGTGGTTATGGGTGCATATGAACATGGGAATTCATAGGTTGGTGATAGTGGATGGTGATGACAATGGATAAAGCCTTTGGAATAAATTGTGCAACAAGGGTATGTGATGGTTGGGTACTGTATTTATTGTATAGTAAATACTCTTTCCTACTCTTTCTTTTTGGGAGATTCATATTAAATGCAAGGTCTTCCATTCAGGAAAATGAAATAGAACCCATATTTCAATTGAAAGAAAAGACTTTGGTGTGTCCACTATCCATGTGGCTACCTGAAGAGTACCAGTGTTGAGACCCAAGTGGATCCTTGCCTCTCTCATTTTTCCCTGCTTTCCAGCTGATCGTTGAGGTGGTATGGAACTACCCCATTTTCCTGTCATTAATTTTTGGAAAAGCACCATCCATCTTGTTAAGGAACTCCAGGGCAGGGTGAGGCTTGAACTTCATTCTGTCCAGGAATTTTCCTTGATTTCCCTGCTGCTCTCTTAGTAGTGGAGAAACAGCTTGTGTTGAGATTCTGACAATGACAGTATCTGAGGGTGTGTCTTTTAACACGATAATTACAAGTGACATCCTCTTTTAAAGTTGTAAAAAGAGGAGTGTTCAGGAGAGCTTGATATGGAGCATGAGATGTGAAATCGATTCAGCTGCAGCTGAGAGCTTGCATGTTTTGAAGCATTTCTAACTTTTACATCTGTTTCCCTCTTTGTTGTAGGACTACCACTGGCAGTGGCGCTCATTTCTTACAAGTGGTTTTACCGCTGTTTATTTTCTAATATATGCAGTGCACTACTTCTTTTCTAAGCTTCAAATTACGGGTACAGCAAGCACCATTTTGTACTTTGGTTACACCATGATAATGGTCTTGATCTTCTTCCTTTTTACAGGTAATATCATTTGATATTAACTCTTGTATTGTGTGAAAAATGCCTGCAGAAACACTAAACCGATAACTGCTTTAAACTTGAGGTTGTGATGAGGTCACACACTTTCTATCATACATTTTTATTTCAGTTTAAAGCTCTGATCTAGAAATTCTCTGTACTTGAGCTATGGATCAAGAGTCTTCTTACAATTAGGCCGGGGATAAATTAGTGTTTATGCCCTGAGTTTAGGCTCTTGCGCCTTTTAGTTTGGCTGTCAAATAGCCACCTTTCATTTTTGTTGTTGTTCTGCAGTCTGAGATGCATCACACAATGTGTGTAATTGCAGTCATGTCTAAACTTATGAAATGTTTAAAGTATATAACTTTTATTTCACACACACACACAAAAACCCCCGAACACAACAGCTTTATAATTTCTATGTGGGAATGGTTCCTCAAATTTCCTGCAACAATGCTAGGATCTTTCATTGTAGTCAGTATGCTTGTTCATCCTTGACTGCTTCTGTATTTTACCTATTAGTTGGACAATTCTTGAAGGCAAGGTTATGCCATTTCAGGTTTAACTTTGGATTGGTAAATGTAAATTCATTTTTTATATATTGTAGCATACTCCCAAACTTTATTTTTTAGAATCATGAATATTTGAGAGTAAATTGATGGTATGCCCTGTATTTAAATAGATATGCACTGCTTTGAAAAAGGCATTGAAATATAATTTTGTCAGGTAATGGTAACAATACTTTGAAGTGTGTAAGAAGCTGAATAATTAATGTATACAACCACTACTACTACAGCTACTAATACTTGTAAGTGCATAAGAAGTGTTCATTTAGCATAGGAAGTTAATTTGACTCCAGTGGAAGTGGGGGGAGATCTCAAATGTTTTTCAGTTTTTACATTCAGTCCTTATCAAGGGTGTCTGCAGGGTATGGTCAGAAAAAGTCAAGATGGTGATGCACATAAAAAATGGGCAGAGCTTTGACTCCGTCTTGCCTTTTTTGATCACACCCTGTGGAGACCCCTTTGTATTTGCACAATAAGACATTTGACAAAGTTGAATCTTCTCATGCTAATTCACTATATTGGAATTCTTGCCAGCCCTCCCCCGCAACCCACACGCATTGTTTATAAGGGAAAAAAGGCTGTATATCAAAAGACACATCATAAATTTCATTAGGCTAAAATGAAATCATCCTAGGATGTTAGGTCCTAGAGGCATTTAACTTCCTGTCAAATTGATATAAAAGCTAAACAGAGGACCTCATAATTGCTGTATCCAAATGATTATATTGCTGCTTACTCATCTGTTTAAAATGGTCAGCCTCAAGAAGGATTTTGATGGTGCCCTGCTGTCATGGCCGTATAGCACATGCTTGGGGCATTTGTTTCTCACATGGCATTCTGGGTCATTGATCTGACACAGCAAGCAAGTCGCTGGAAGCTACACGACAAATCCAACTCACAGCTTGGCCCACAACTGTGTCTTTGACACAGTAAATGAATCTGTTAAACATCAGTGGTTGAGCTGATATGAAAAAAAATCAGTGTGATATCATTTGGTTTTTGCTGAAATATTTATAATGTGTAAACTATTGTGAAATTTCAGCCCCCCCAAAACTGCCCATTAAATGTGCATGTCATATGCAGTCTTTCAGTAACAAAAGGGAACAGTGCTTATCCTTAATCTATTATTCTGAAATTAGTAATTTACTCATTAAACATTCTCCATTACATCAAGCAGGAACTTCAGAATTTCTACATATTCTGTAAAGGTCTGAATTGCATAAAATGGCAGCAGCTTTTAACTATTTAGCAGCTTGTATTTTCAAAGGGTTGTGTGTGTCCTTCATAGTTTGCAGGAGCAACTGGTTATTTTTTTTCAACCACTAACAGTTATCAGACATTGTTTCACTCCATAATAGCTTTCTGTTTTGGAGACCTGGTCAGTGATATGCATTATAGCAGATTTAAAATCAGCCAAAAATTGTGAGGTCAGCAACCAAACCATGCATATATTTATCAGAAGAACTACAAGCCAGGAGTATCTGTTTGCCTCTAATCTTTTCCACATCTCATTCTTTCTGCAGGGCTGATCTTATTTCATTAGGGTTTAGTATTCACTCAGGTTTCTGCTTCCAGGGATGATGTATGTTTGTATCCTAGCCCATATAAAACTCTGGTTTTTGCAGGCAAACAAACTCTAAGCAGGCTGTTCCTCCTTCTGAGTATTTGGGCTAGTTCTTCTGTGCTACAGTACCAGTTTTCCTGAATCTTGCAACAACAACATACATTTCTTTCATATTTTGAACATGTGACTGCAAAACAGTTTCTCCCCAAGTTCAGTGGATGCAGATACTTTAAGACAATTAGCAAGCACACATTGGATATAAGGGTCTGTAAATTTAGGATAACTTAATTCTGAAGAAATATAAGTAGGTTGACACACTTTGGGGTGTGGTTATCAGAACGGCAGAAAAAGATCCCAGACCTTCCCTACCCTCCCTTTAAAAAGTGACCGTATCAGGAGCACTTGTTAAAGGGAACAAAAGTGTTGCTCAGCCATTTGCATCTACCAGCCCAAGATGATAAGAAACAAAGCCCATACCTGTCCCGTGGTCCAGAGACTAGCCATGCCCTTTTCAACTTTAAAAACTAAAATGCAGATAGGCCACTTTAGTAAAGATATATGAGATCTTGAGGAGAGAGCTGCCAATTTACAAGAATATTTACAAAAGAAAATGTGGTGCTCCTGACAGAACACAAGATGCAATTTAATATTACAGACTAGAAATAAAATTATATGAAAACCCTGCCTATAGCTTTTTTCTTTTTATAATTTTTTCTTTTTTTTCCTCTTGGTTCTGTTAAATAAATAAAACTAAAAAAAATTTAAAAGAGGGAGGAAAAAGGATTATTTTCATGCCCAGGCTGAAGACTGCATGGAAGGCTGAGGTTACACACTCAAGTTTTCTAATTTATACAGAGAAATAAAAGCACTGATCAGCACCACAGAGAAAAAGAAAAAAAGTATTTAATGCAGATTCCTAGCTAGATGGTTAATTTTTCCAAAGCAAAAATCCCTGTGCTACCTTTACCTGGACTTCCTCCAGATTTTGGGAGAGATTTAACTTTAATGAGAGATGGTCCACTTCAGACCAACAGTGGTCCACAGATGCCAGTCACAGCTTCCTCCTTGAATTTCTCCAGGGAATAGAGATAATGCTCAGCACCTGTGTGGCAGTGCTGCCTTTTGGCCCTGTGCTGATTGAGTGCTGCGACCCTAAATCTAAAAGATTCCTGAAAAAGTAATCATGGTGTACTGTAAGACAGGAAGCATTAATGTAAATGTGTTAGTGTGCAAAGCTATATATTTTGAGAACTTTCTGTTAGCGTAAGAAGCCCAGGTATGGATATTGATGCAGTCTTGTGTTTCTTTATTTGTAGGAACAATTGGATTTTTCGCTTGCTTTTGGTTTGTGACCAAGATATACAGCGTGGTCAAAGTTGATTAAAGATACTCAATGTAGAAACTATCAACCTAATTTAAATACATACTTTTGGAAAAGAATGTAAGCTTTATTAAAAGTATTGACTTATGTACTTTCTGAATGATACAGAATATACATTTTCTCTCATTCAAACATTTGTATTGTAATTTTGCAATCTGTTTTCACTTGGTGTTCCTAATGAAGACTGAATATAAATGTTGTATGCATTTGTAAATATTGTTATATTGGGACTTTTAAATTCTAATGACTGGTTGTAAGTGCTGCCTCGCAGGATTTAATAATTCTTTTGAAAGAATAGTTGTAAATAAGGTTTTTTAGGTTTGCTGGGTGGGGTTAGTTATTTTTTCAAAGGAAAGAACTGATTTCTATCATGCTTTTGAAGGTTGACTCAGTGTGTTGCTTTTAGTTTGAAAGTTTCTGTTTTATATGAAGCCATGGCCAAAATCCCTGTGTTTTTTCCGCCGTGATTCCATTGGGTTCTAGTGATGTTGGCCTTTGAGACTGTGCGCCTCCTAAGTTCTGCAACCTATACAATTCACAATAAATGAGCTATTTTCAGTTGATCATTACACATTATAAATAAATGCATTAAATCCTGTAAATAGAAATATATTGATAAGTTCTAAATATGTAGATTGGGTTATGTGTTAATTCTTAGTTCATTTTTCTTTTTTGAGTAAATCATGTTACATAAATGTAATATTCTTGAACTACTTAAGAATGACACTTCATAACTATACTATAGTGTCTACTTTAATCCACTACATAATTAAAGAGACTGGATAATATGATGGAAAAAATCTGCATAAATGGAAACAAGATGCATTACCAGGTGTGTTCACCGCAGATTTTAATGATACATATTATGCAGAATAGACTATGGGTTTGTTCTTTTCATATACACAGACAGAACTATTTGCTTCAATTACAAGAGGAAATTTATTAGATGATTTAAAAATAATCCACATGCATCTCTGAAAATTGCAGTGGAAACTTGTTTACTGTGTTGTCTGAGTTAAGCAGTTCACCTGTTAATAATCTCTGCATGTTTTCTGGAAGAGCACACCTGTTCCCATGTAACTGCATGTTTTGACAGATCAATCTAAGTTTTTTCTAGTATTTCTAAAGAGTATAAACTGATGATGTGTGAATATTAAAATCCAATAAAATATCTTTTGTTAATAACCTGAAATTTTTAATTTGATCTTGTAAACTTCCATTTACACAATAAGGTTTAATCCAGAATGCCTTACAAAAGATAAAAAAGAATCATGCCAATATTCCTTAGACTTTTAACAGCCAGTCTAATTCTTTGCTAAATAGCTATGATTGGAGCTTTGTGTCCTCTTTTAGTGAAATTATTTGTCGAGTTATAGCAGGGCTGGATGTTGGTTTTAGATGCTATAAAAGTGAGGCAGCATCCTTGATAGAAAATGCTAGCATAAAGTATCTGGCTTGGAAGATCATTTCCTTGTATATATTCAAATTTGTACCTCAGGCTGGAGTCAGGAAATGATAAGGAAGCCTCCTCTGAAAGAACAGAACTTGCCTTTTTTGTTGTTGTTTTGTTCCCCACCAAACTTGGCTTCCCTTCCCGCAAACTCTTTCTGTAGATCAGTGGGTGGAGCAAAGAGAGATGTAGGAAGCTAGAGTGGTTGGAGGGCCTTGAACCAGGGAGGTCCCTTTCTACTTGTGCAGGACATTAAGACATTTCTGGATTCAAATATCTAGGAGGCTTCCGGTACAAACTCTACACAGGGGAAAAAAATAGAGACGTGCAAAGCATCTCTACTGATGAAATGCCTCAGTTTGAATTTGAAGTAGGCTGTTCCAGCCCTGCTGAAAGTGTGCCCATTTTGAAACAGGGATGATACTATATCCTTTAAAGCAGCAGTTATCAACTGGGGCATATGGCCCCCTGGGTGCTCTAGGATATTTCAAGAGGGCCACGGGTGAAAGACGTGTAACGGGCCACAGCATGTGGCGAGAAGGCCACAGAAAAGCAGCGTTTATTATATTGCAAATAACTGTCTTGTTGATGCCAGAAAACGCACCAGTTATTGTTCCATGTCCGTCTCTGGTAATAAGACCCAGACCCGGGGGCCACAGGAGAAAAACAAGGTTGGACGGGGGGGCATGGGCAAAAAAAGTTGAAAAGCACTACTTCAAAGTATTATGTTATTTGGCAAGGAAGATGGAAATGAAGGAATACCTGAAAAACCTTATTCTAAGGAAATGTGTTTCATTTTAAAGAATTTGTACTCTTCCAGAGAACAAAAATATTTGATGAAAAAGGGTACATTTTTAAAATCTGAAAAAAAAAATCTCGATTTGTCACCTTTGACAAGCATGTTAGAAATGTATTTATTTATTAAATTCATATAACTGCCCATCTCACTTCTGTGACTCTGGGCAGCCTACAAAGTTAAAAAACCCCAAAACGATACAAAAGACAAACCAAAAAAAACATGAGTCATTAAAACAATAAAAAGTATTAAAAACCAAAATCTGCGGGACAGCACTGTTCCTTTCCTAAGAGTGCAACCACTTTGCAGGCTCTGCACCAGTGTCACCAGATCCCCAGGCCAGATGCAAAGCTATCTCTTCAGAACCTTCCAGAAAGCCAACAAGTTTGGGGCCAATCTAACCTCCGGGGGAGATGATGTTCCAAAAGGCAGGTACCGCAGCAGAAAAGGCTTCATGCAGATGTTAAACAGGAGTAGAGAGTATACTGAACCCTGTGGCACCTCACACAGTAGGGGCCAAGGGCGGGACACCTCACTCCCAATCAACACCAACTGGAACTGGCCACAATTCAATTTAAAATGGTGCAGATATTGCAAATGATGCGCATTTATTTAGCCATAAACTCTAATGGTATGCAGGAGTGACCTTGGGAGACTGGACAAAGAGAGGCTACCAAGGGAAGGGTCAGGTGAGAGACAGCATAGTCCACAGCTGGATAGTGGGTGGGGCAAAAGGCTCAGAAGAGACCCTCCCTAGTTTCTAAAGCTGTAAAGGAGATGGGGGGAGAAATGTAGTTTTAGACTTGCAAGATTTTGTCAATGTAGCTTTACAATAAAGTAGACTTAGCTTATCTGGTTGTGTTTCCTATCTGGTTTGCCCCACAAGCTAAATGTAAACTTTCCACACACTTTAGTGACACCTGTTTCTGAACCATCAAGTTTAATAATGGAGTTCTTAAGTATCTGTTAGCCTTTCAAGAACGTCCTACCCTCAGTGTCTCAAGTATTTAAGATTTCATGGCAAACTTCATAACAACAACATTTGTTTGGTCAACAATATGTTGCAATAATGACTATGGAATAAGCCTACTAACCTTAATGCAGTGTTTCTGCAATACTGCACACTGGGTGGGGAATTCTGGGAACTGAAGTCCACCCATCTTAAAGTTGCCAAGGTTAAGGAACACTGCCTTAATGGCTGGGTTGCACACTGTTACATTGGGGCTAAATGTATTGGATGAATGTGGTAGTGTGGTCAGTCAACAGATGTGCATGTTAACCCAGGCACTTGAGTTAATTCAGCCAACTGTATTTCACTTAGCGCAGATTAGCACGTTTGTGCAAACACAACCTGTAGGATTTAAGGATTTATTAAGGAAAAGACAGTCCTTCCCTATCCAACCAAAAATGGAAGATTAGAAAGAAAAAATGTTTTTCCTGATCATTCTTGATCTCACTGCCGCAGCTAAAACAACCCTCCCAAAACGGTAAGAAGCGGAAAATGCAACGTCCTGGAAAAAGGCGAAGGCCAACCCCTGTGTCACTTTGCAAAGAAAACTGTATTGACCGTAATTATGAGAAACTGAGCTCCGCGCGAGGACTCCCTTTAGGGTTCTTCTCTCATTCTTTTTATGCGCTGTAAGCCTTCGAATAAATATAATGCTTCGGGCAAATACCCGTTGCATAGTTCACTTTCTTACGCCCTTCGTTAATGCAATTTTTGCAGTTACTATCGCACGCGTAAGTACTTCGGAGATAACCTTGTGTGTTGCCGTGCATTCTTATCACGGAATAAGCCTCGTTGAACGCCACGTCTGCATTAAGTAAAGCGTGCCCGCAACTCTTTTTATCCTCCTGTTGAATCTTCTACAGTGCCCTCTGATACAAATTTATCCAGAGCAGACTAATTCCCTTTTGCATAGCACGGCTGCCTCACTAGCGAGCCTGCTAAAGATCCAGGCTGTGACAGTTCCTCTGATTCCTGGCGTCCAAGATTCACGTGCAGACGTGAGCGAATTCACGCTTGGGCAATTGCGCTTCCGCGTCACGCCTCCTTCGTTCCTTCCTCGAAGGGGAGGGGACAACCAAGAGGGGCGGAACCTCCCGCGCGTGCGTGTCTCACGGGGGGCGGCAGAACTTCTCCACCAATAGGAGATGGCGAGGGCGGGGCCAGGGCGAGGCGAAGGACGGAATGATGGCGTCTGCGGGGATGGGGCTACGGCGGCTCCTGGCGGCCGGTTTTAAGGCGAGCAGGCGGCGAGTGTGAGTGTCGCGATGGAGCGGATTGCGCGTGCGCTGTTCCGGGAATGGCTCAGGAGATGGGGGGCTCCTCCCCCCGTTTCCCTTTCTGGTGCTACTTCTTAAAGTAGCCGGGGCAGCTGATTCCTGATGTTGCGGAGCTGCTCGGGGTAGTTTTGCTATCCCTTTAAGCTCTAACAGTGTTTCTCAACCTCAGCAACTTTATGCTGGGTGGACTTCAACTCCCAGAATTCCCCAGCCAGCATGCAATCTGGGGAATTCTGGGACTTTGAGAAACACTGAACTATAGTAATGTCCCAGTACTGAACCGACCTTGACGATTTTGGAATGGCTAAGCAGGGTCGAGCCTGGTTTGTCCTTGGATTAGGGACCAGCAGGAAGTCCTTGGCCTTGTAGACTAGATTGGGAAGTCAAACAACATCATCGTGGAAGAAGACAGCGGTGGGCAACTCCCATGCTGCTGCCAGGAAAACAAGATGGACGGTCCTTTTAGGTCGTATATCCTTGAAGCACCAGGAGTTGAGGTCATCTAGAGGGAGTCTTTATCTTAACATCTTTGCATGGAGATTGGTTTCTTATTTAACAGACTGTCGATCGGTCCCTCTAGTTTCTTGGGACTTTTTAAAAATTATTTTTTATTGTGCCTTCAAGTCAGTGTTGATTCCTGGCAACTGCCTGGACTAGTCCCTGCCGTTTTCTTGGCAAGATTTCAGGAATGGTTTGCGATTGCCTCCTTCCTAAAGCTGAGAGAGAAGGACAGGCCCAAGGTCACCCAGCTGGTGTTGTGCCTAAGGCGGGACTAGAACTCGTGATCTCCCGGTTACTAGCCTGATGCCTTACTACCACACCAAACTGGCTCTGTGATTCTTGGGATTGCAGACCCCATAATCCCCACACAGCATGGTCTTAGCTTGAGGAAGGTGGGATGAAGAATGACAAGAGCTGGAATCCGTCCATGATTCCAGGAGTTAGGCCATGAATTCAGAACTCCACCTTGTGGTACAGCTCAGAGGAATAATAATAATAGTAGCAGTAGTAGTAGTAGTAGTATATGCCACCTGACTCCCAACGACTCTGGGCAGTTTACAATTGTTAAAAACATTTAAAACTGAAGAGGAGCTGGACATAAACACCAGGGAATTCGGTTTAGGAAGCAGAGAATTGCATTATTAGCAGGGCAGATCCTGACAAAATCAAAGTGGCTTCCTCAGGGAGGGAGGGGTTTCTGCAAATCAAGCAGCAGCGTCTGCACCCCTCTGTATATCCTTCATTTAAATTAAGGCAGTTGATCTTCTGCATCGTGAGTTCTTAGATATGTATGGCGTGAGTTACAGTAAAGGGCCCAACTGCCTTGGAATCTGCTGGTGCTGAGCTGATGGCTCAGATTTGCTGATGTGACACTTTGGCATCAGCCTTTTTGCAGAGAAGGCATTCTGCCCACTGTGTCCGTCGGGCTGGACTTTGCCATTGGAAACAAGTGCTTTTGTTCACAGACTTCATTTTGCTCTTTTGTAATTTGTGCTAAAGGCAAAAGTAACTGGTGGGAGCAAAGAAGCATGAATTTCAGTTTAGCTGAGTCTCTCTTTACCCTAATTAATGGATTGGCCCAGAAATAGCTTTTAACTTTGATCACCTGTTAATCTTTTCCTGTTTATGGGATGCTTTTTCATACACTGAGCCCTAGAGGGAGCTAATGTCATGAAAGCTGAAATATATTACCTGCTTGTTAATTAGGGTAAAAAATCTTCCTGTCTTGCAATATTTTAGCAAACACAATCTTGAACAAATCTAGAATATAAACAGCCAATGATATTGTATCTTCAAAAATGTTGCTAATTACATTTTTAATATCTAAAACTGAGTTATCGCTTGCTTTTTGTGAATTGACTTTGTTTAATTGGAAAAATGGAATCCTTATTTACTTACATTGGCTAAAAGTTATTCTTTAAGATTAAAAAGTTGTTTCTGCTGCAGTTTGAAGGTTTTTATCCCGAATGCTCTTATTAAGGCCTGTGTAAAATGCTTTTGAATGTTTTGCTTTTTGTATTTTATATATTGCTTTGTTTAAATTATCTTTTAATCAAAATTCTCGTATTTGCTGAAAATGATAATGAAACTATTTTGAGTCCACAGTTGCTTAATTGGATTTTGGCATCACCCAAAAATGCTAGCAAAAGACCAAACTTGGTCTTTCAAATTTTGTTTTACAGAATTAACTCAGTTTGTCAGGTTTTTAACTAACTTGCTTGCCAATGAATTGGGACTGAGCTGGACATAAAATCAAAAATTAGAATGGGTTTCTGCAACCTGCACTAGTTCCTGGTTTGCCTTGCCAAGCATGAGCACGTTCTCCTGTTGCTTGCAATGTTGGGTGTGCTAATTTAAGAGTTACAAACAGAGAATTCTTAGCCCCCTCATAAAGTTCTGAGGATTTTTAGGGTGGATGATTTGATAGAAACCAATATGTTTTTAACACTGGAAGAATCAGTTGGGTATTTCTCCTAAGTTGTGAAATGCTTTCCCTGAGATTCAAGATAGTGACAGTTGTTCTGTTGCAAATTGATTTTTTGCCAGTTATTCTGGTGAGCAGATAATCTGCTTTTTAGGTGATTCTGATCAAGTCTGATTCTGGAGTTTGTTCTCTGAATGATTCCTATAGTGGTCGGTGGGGGAGGATAGTTGGAGGCAAGTGATGTCAGGCGTGACATCATGGAGCAAAAACTGTGACTAGTCTCAGATGCCAGGTTGCAAGCGCATAAGCAGATAGGACATCTGTGTCCCTGGGTCACTGTTTTGACATAAAGATTGCAGCAGATGATTTGACCGGGTTGGGTGGGAGGTAAATCTGACTATGCGTCTTCCTCCCCCTGCCTCCCTGTTAACCTTCTCCATCCTGGCGCTCTTCAGTTGAGAGTGCACTACAGTTCTCATCATCTTCAGCACTGGAAAAACTGTTCTTTGGCAGGTTTTACTACTGACTCTATTAGGACTGCTGTCTCTTCCTCCCTGTGCAGTAGAATGGAATTTAGGGAAGCTTTTGTTGGATAAAAATAGGATACCACATACTGTAGTCTGGTTCAAGTCTGGGTGACTAATTATCATGGCCCTGAGAAGATATTTGGAGGTCTTTTATTTCTGCTTCCATTTTTCTATGAACTGGTTGTTATACAAATAAGTGTTTCTCGGTTCATGGCAAAATAGCTAGTCACTCTGAAGTCTCTTATGCAGTAAAAAGGAAGTGAAGAGAATCTGAAGAACTTGGGACATGCCAAACCAGCTTTATAAAATGTAGGGTACCAATTGTAGTTAAGCATTTAACAGAGACATTTTATACTGAGCTTTCAGGTGACCTAATTTCCCCTGGTACTGTACATTTAGTTTTATACATCTGCACCTAGTTTGTAAAACAGACTTAATGAGAAACTTCAAACAGTTTAAACATCAATTACGATGATGGCAAGGTTTTAAAGTTCCAGTAATCTGTCCATGTTGGTCACTGAAACATGATCCCAGGGGACCCTGAAACAGGATATAATTCAAGACAGATGTCACTCCAGGACTTGAAAATGAGGGCCTTACAGTTGATGCTAACAAGCTCCTAGGCTAGTTGTTGTTACCCTTGGTTTGCTGCTCAAGAGTATAATTATTAATTTCATTTAATGTGGATTTACAGATAATTCCCTACTTACAAACGGGTTACATTCCAAGAGGCTGTTCGTAAGTCCATTTTGTTCATAAGTCCAACAAGCAAAAAAAAGAGAGAGAGAGGTGGAGGCAGGAGGCAGGGCAGTGGTGTGGGCAGAGGAGCCCTATCTTTTGCTGCCAATGTGTCTCCAGGTGAGGCAGGAGAGGGGAGTGAAGGATGAGGCGGTGGGGCATGGCGCGTTCCACTGCTGGGTGAGGCGGGAGACCTCCGCCCCCTCTCCCCTGTTCTCTGTCACCGCCCCCTCTCCTGCCTCACCTGGCAACAGAGCGCGCCACGTAAACTAACCCTTTCTGGAAACTCCAACTTCAGTGCAAACCTCAAATGCAAACGGAATGCTGGAGAAGGTGGGAAAGGGTTAGTTTGTGGTGCGCTGCAACTAAGCCTTTCCCGCCTTTTCCCAACTTCCGGTTCCAACTTCTGGCCTGACTTCCAGTTCTGACTTCCGGGTCCATCCTGTTCATATCGGTGAAGGTTCGCAACATGAAAGTTTGCAAGTAGGGGACTGTCTGTAGTTTTAAAACAGTGATGGGAAGTGCGTGTCTTAGCACCTGGCTTGTAAAATTGTTAGTATTGTTATTCCTGTTATTCACAGCGAATGTAAAAATATGATTGTATGGATTATTAGAGTGTTGAATAAAGTTACCAGAACTGAAAAGAACGCTGCTCTAAGTTCATGAGCAGATCTAGGATATCATACAAATAAAATAAAGAGAGGGGTTCACTCATTGCACTGTGCTAATCCAGATAAATCCCATTATGGTTTAGTGCAGTGTGTGAACTTAAATCTTTTGTGAGCCAATACTGCTATGACAGAAAATGCCACTATCTCTCCATATGATTTTACAAGGACACATAAATTGCAGTGCGCATGGTCACAGGCCATGACAAGATGTCAATACAAATTGGCATTCTTCAGGTTACTCACTTGTTACCCAGAGTGCTGGAAAGAGAATGCTCAAGTGGCTGGTGAATCCTCTTATATGTACATTTAATGTACATTTACAACCCATTTGTGCTTCTTCTTTTGCAGCAGCTGCTAATATTTGAATCTGTTACTCTTAATGTTTTCTGAATGTTGCTTTCTATTTTGATATGAAAATGTGAAGGCCTGCCTTCTTTGATCCTTGCAAAATGTTACAGTACCTTCGTCATTCTTAAACTGAGAGTCACTTTGGTTAATAAAGTGAAATATACACAATGTTTTTGCCTGTGTACTCCTTCCCCATACTGTCTTTATTCTTCTCCTTATAGGTGTGCATAGTTAACCCCAGTCAGTCATAGAAATCTTCAGGTTAAC